TTATTGTCATGAATGTTGGAGGTTGGAATTCCACTGGGTATGTTGTTGTTGATGTTGGAAGGTGGGTGATAATACATCCGACCAGTCTGAGGGCAATGAGAATGAAACCTAGCTACTATTCTTACACCTACATCCACCATTTCCATGCATTTCCCCATGGATTTTTGGATAGTTTGGAGAGAAAAGTATAAGTGCAAGAGCTCTTAAAGATAGTTGACAAAAGGACGAGAGGAATTTGCTGAGTATATAAAAAATTTATAGGGGAGTTTGAAATTTTTGTTTCTTCAAAATGGCTTTGACATTAGAGTTTTTTGTTGCCCTTTCCCCATGGTTTGGAGTCTTTTTGACTTTGTTAATTATGACTTCTCCATATGTGGCGGGTCACAGTATCAAAGATTTTGTCAAATTGAGATGTCATATAAGCCGACGTAGATTTTGGTCAATAATATAGTAATAATCTGGACAAAAATTGTAAGCTGCAGCCGTACATATTGGACGGAATTAGTCCTATATATTTGCTAGTCATAAAGGCAATGCAATTTACTCAACATAGAACACTATATTATTAGCTTCTATATGTGTTAAAAGATTCATCAAATAAGTATAAAATAATAGATTTCGAACTAAGTAAATCAAGCAGTTTGTGATTGAATTCGAACACATAAAGTTCAAATCCAAAATTTGTCTTTGGCGTAGATAACAACGGATTCACTTATACATAAGATTTGTGGGTGGCAAAAAGTTCTAAATCTTATTTTTCCAAAAGATAATGCAAATTAATTTACCACATAATACTCAAGAAGCATAGTAATTTGTATCGAAAGTTCTCATAGTATTGTCAGAATATATACTGGTATGGTACTGAGATGCAATACAAAGTAAATCACCATTTTGGTTGGCATGCATTCTCTAGTACAATCATCTTTGGAACTATACTTTGGCTACTATACTTTGGCCTCATTTATATACCACTGGAGTAATATTTATTTTTATTATATGTGTTTTTCCTATGCATATATGCAGCCTCTCTTGGGCCAAATTTTATCTTACTTGTGCAATTAGCAACTTGATTCACCTCTATTTTTTAGCTGTCTACCTTCAATTTATCTGCAGAAAAAAGTTAAAAAGGTTGAAAAACATTAGGGGAAAGAATGGAGAAAAATCTGTTCTGAAGTTACAAATATAAGCACTAAACTTTCAATTATGAAGAGATAATAGAGAGTAATGCATACATCATATGCATATATCTTTACTCTTTATGTCTAATATATTAATGATTTACTAAAGGAGTAAACTAGTAAATCAGCTGGACACTCTAGCCAAGATGCTTTCTCAAACTCTAGAACAATTTTTTTGTTCCCATCCAGTGTCCGGTGTTCGGTGGCCGCATTAGGACAGGACCCGATTAAATTCGGGTTCGTACCGAAAATTCCTATATTTGGGGGTAAAATACTCCATAACAAATGCGACTTTGTCTCTAGCTCTGAAACTCGAAACCTCTAGTTAAGGATAAAAAAATATTTATCGCTCCAACACAATCCTTGTTGATTTATTACAATTCGTTCTATTTTAAGTGCCTTAATTGACTGTGGACGGATATGTATATATCAAAAAAGAAATTTTTTCCAACTATCAACAAAGAATTGAAACTAGTTGCAAAAATACTCCATCCATTTAACTTTTATGTGACTCTATTTCCTTCTTTTTATGTTCCAAAAAGAATCACTCTTTTTTAAAATAATTTAAGTACTTAAAGTTTTTATTTTATCGTCAATAGCAAGTTTTTATAGTTACACAAATATTATGACATATTTAACGTTACAAATATCTAATAATACACAAATACCATAGCATGTTTCACATTTTTTTTCTTTCTTAAACGTCGTGCTCAGTCAAACTTATAAATGGATGAGTATTTAAAAGGAAAAAACTTAATAACAGTCAAATTAATTGTTCCATATCTCAAATAAAGTAATTAGACTCATAAACTAATGCATAATTAATTAATTTACCACATAAACATAAGGATCTGTGCGACCTCCTGCCCCTGTCCTCTTCACTTCATCTAGTCTCAACAATCTGAAACATAAACCAAAGATACAAAAAATTCACAAAATTAGACTATCAATGCAATTGTTTTGTGTGCACTGTGTGTGTGTGAGAGAGAGAGAGGGAGAGAGAGAGAGACATTCTTAAGGCTTTGCTGGTATCAGGGCTATCACCAAGCAACTGACGAATCCTAACTTCAGAAGCACAACCATGACACGTCAGCACCTTCAATATCGCTTCAGCTCTCCGCCGCATGTGAGCCGCCGAGCCAATCGCCTTCATCTTCCTCCAAACACTCTCTGTCTCACGGCTTGAGATGTCGCCGGAGGTAGCAGAGTCAACAATTGACACACACGACAACTCTGATGCTGACGTGGCAGTTTCCAGCTTGTCGGAGCTGAATTTCAGGCAATCGGAGATGCATGAGCTCTTAGATCGTCTCCTTCGCACCGCCTATGAATTTTTAAATATGTCAGAAAATTAATCGAAAACGGAGAATATTGAATACTCTGATATATCAAAGCGTCAATTTTCAAATCGAATCACTGAGAAAAAAACAGAATAGGCTGATCATTTTGCTGAAAATTGAAATAAAACTCATCGAATTACAAAAAATAAAAATGAGAAAACTCAACCGATTCTAAAGCATCAATCTACAATTCATAACACCGAGAAAAACAGAGTAAGTTGAACTATGAAGATTCAGAGGAACGAAAAATTCAAAAAAAAAATAAAAAAAAAAAATAAAAGTGGTCGAAGCGGAGTAGGAAATTCTAGTAATTCAACTGTAGCAGTAACATTAATCATCTTGAGCTAAGTGAATATTCAGAAAATAAATCAAAAGTAGAGAAAACTCAATCGATTCTACAATTCCTAACACTGACAAAAAACAGAGCAATTAAACTATGAAAAATTCATAGGAACAAAGCAGTGAGCTATAACACGAAGCACTGAATTAAGCAGATATATAACAGATCGTGGACTATAAGAAACTAATAATTCAAATAAAATAAACAAAAATAACAAATCAAAAACTGTAGATCACGTTCATCTTAACTCAATATTTCAAATTTTTTACCTTAAGCTTATTGATGATACGAAACATACGAATCATCTTCACGCGACGAGCATGTGCTTTAGCCTCAGCCGACGACACATCATCATCATCATCATATTCATCAACATCATCATTAGCAGTAACAGTTGAATTAGAAGCACTCGATTTCGACTTCGAATCTGAAATCGACGCCGTATAACTCAATGCAGCTGCCTGTGAAATCTCAGGTATACTCTTCATTCTACACAGTACACACACACACACACAAATGAGCAACAAATTAAGTATCTCAAATTTGAGAAAAAAATCAGAAATTTGTAGTATTACTTCGAATCCAAAGCCGACGTCCTATAACTCAATGCAGCTGCCTCTGATATCTTCGATATGCTCTTCATACTACAAAACATAAAACAAACAAAAAACACAGCAACAACAACAAAATATAGTATTAGCAATACAATTTGAGTAACTGACAATAATAGAGAAATTTGAGAATTTTGTACTACTAGAATACTTTGTAGTAGAGAGAAGGAGAAGAGCAGAAGAAACTTCGAGTTCATCTTCATTAGGAAATGCTTCTTCTTCTTTTTCTTCTTCCATTTGTTACTGCTTCTTCAACGTTGTTTTTGTTTCTTTGAGATTTGAAATATGGCGCGTTAATTAATTTTTTGGGAATATTTGAATCATATTACACTTCGGGTTACTTGCTGAATACGGAGTACGAAATGGGCTATACCAGATCCAGTTGCTTCTTCGGGTTGGGCCGGCCCAGATTGTATTCTTAAGACCAAGTCAAAATTTGTTAAAATAACACGGTCTAGCCAGTTTTCGGACTGGTCATTCAAAAATAGCCAGAGTTTACCAAGTCAATGAAAATAGCCATTATTCTACTGCAACAGAGACCGGTCCAGCATAATATACTGGAGTTCAGTGCACCTGTGTATGAACTTCCAGCATATTATGTTGGAACTCCAACACACGGAAACACTACAACAAATTTGATTATCAGTGATAAATTATTTTGTCACCTAAAATTCACTTTTTGTTTCAAAAGGTTTTTTGTGATAAAATATTTTTTGTCAAAGGTTTGTCCCTAAAACACCGTCACTAATAGTATACAAAGACAACTTTGTATTTCGTCGCTAAATAAAGATATATTAACTACAAAATTGTTTTTTGTCTCCAAATAAGTAATATTTATGACGAACTTGTTTGTCATAAAAAGTGTACAAAATTTGTAGTTAAAAGTATTGTATCGTCGCTAAAAAGGTCTTTAATACTGACGAATCTAATTTGTCACCAATTAATTTTAATTAGTGATGATGTTGATTGTCGTTAAAGCTATGCATAATTCGTAGTTAAAGGAATGTGATTTTGTCACTAAATGGTATTTCTTTATGTAAAAAAGAAATTTTCGTTTCTAAATAGATAAACTAGCGACAAATTTTTTTGTCCGAGAAGGTAGAAATTTCGTAGTTGAAACTCTTTTTGTGTCTCGACAAATGATATTATTACTGATAAGACTAATTTGTCACTATGCGTTATCTTAATTAGTGACAATTTTAATTGTCATCAAATATTAAGTTAATTAGTAGTTAATGTGAAGGCCATTTCTGGACAAATTATTTTTGTCACTAAATGTTATCAATTTTTGACGATTGAAAATATAGCAATACGATTCAGATTCTGTAGATTAAAAAAGATATTTTGAGACGAAGATGTGATTGTCATAAAATGTATAAATATTTAAATATAAATTTTTTTATGACAAATTGTATATATATTTAATGCTTTGTAATCGCAATATTCAAGTCCCTAATTAAATAGTTTGTTTGTAATTACATGTCGTAAATTTAAAAAATCACAAAAATAAAAAAGAAACGTAATACAAAAATTCATACAAAATCATATACTGATACAACTGTAATTATCCTAAGAAAACATGTAAGTACAAACTTATAGAGTAAATAAAGTGAAATACCTAAAACATAAAAAGTCTAATTGAAATGTGTGAACATGGTAAATTAAAAAAGACCAGCATGTTGCTTCATCATGTGCTAATGAGGCGTCCCTTATCTACAAACTTCCCAGACACCTTTTACAACTTCATATACCTGTGTGTACAAGAAAAAAATAATAAACACTTTTTAATTTTATGATTTAAACAAATTATAACTTCAAACGGAAATCATAAACTAACTTTGATTAGTAAAGCAATAATAATAAAATGAGAAATAGATAGTAACTTCTATACAAAATTATTAACTATATGATATACCCTACATCAAAAACAATTGAAGAATAAAAAAGAAAGATTAAAAAATAAATAAAAAGAACATACATCAATAGAAATTTACCTCCTCATCAAAATAGTATCATGAATTTCCTTCCTTAAGCCATGAATCAAGGGCCTCAATTATAGCAAAAGATGATTTTCACAGCAAAATAACTTGTGGAGTTGCTCCTTGTGCTATTCAACTCCTGCATAAAAACTAATAGAGCCTTAGTAAATACTGTTAAGAACTTTTATTAGGTAGAGATATATTAAGGAGTTTAAAATTAGACAAGAGAGAGGAGTTGGGTTTATCTGGTTATAGGGGCCGGCCAAGATGATGGTTGGATGTGGATGACCATCATTTGGGATAATAGAAAGCAACTGGAAAAAGCAGAAAATATATGCACAGATTTCTCTTATCTATTGGAGTACTCTATACAGTTGTATTAGACTTGTATATCTCAAGTTTATCTAGTGGAAGGTTGTTCGTGGTTTATATGGAGGAAATGGATAACAGATGAAATTTTACACGAAAATATTGGAGGGAAGGTAAAATAATTGAAAGTTAATTTTTGTTATTTTATCTTCCCTCCAATATTTTTTATAGAATTCTCATTCTTATGACTTCCGTAAATATTGAAATTATATGTCTAACTTCGCATATTGTATATGAATTATTTTAACATTTTTTTAATTATTTTATTTGGACAAATTGTGAGCACGTTGAAAACAATTATGTATATGGTTGATACTATGTATGCACTTAATCAAGCTTAAATATGCAGATAATTGTAGATATTAATTGTAACGTCCCAATTTTTTTTATATATTTAAATAGCTTAATTATAGATTTAATAACGTAACTAAAGTAATCTCATAGAAGAGAATACCAAGAATAAGGGTAGTTTAATGCATTGGGTACCGGTTACGCCCACCTCAAATTTGGAGCGTGCATTAATCATGAAAAATCTTTAAATAGATTAGATTGAGATAAATTGTTTCACATTAATTCTTACCAAATATAGCGAAATTATGGCCAAATTATTTGAAAACATTCAAAATTTTGTTGTGCAACCAAACTGTAAACTTGTAATTACACTGTGATAAACAAACAAGTCATCATAATTACACAATTGTATAATTATTAGAATGTGTAATGAAAGTAGTAGTGAGGCGTCGGTACGGACACCAATTCCAATTACATGGTGGCTTTCCAAACAGACCATAAATGGGTTGTCTGCCGACATGGAATTAAATTGTAACAACCCGACCGGTCGTTTTTGGCTCTAGCACGTCGGTCGGTAGTTTGAGGCCATGAGCAGCTTCACATCATGTATTATGACTTGTGCGCATGGTCGGAATTGAATTTCGGGAAGTTCGGAGTTGATTTGGAAAGAGAATTCTCATTTCGAAAGCCTTAAGTTGGAAGAATTGACTAAGATTGGATTTTTGAGTAAACTACCTCGGAATCGGGATTCAAAGGTTCCAGCAGGTTCGTATGATTATTTCGGACTACGTATGTCCGGATAATATTTTGGAAGACCCGGGAATGTTTCGGCACCTATTGTGGAAGTTAGCATTTTTGGAAGAATTTCATAAGTTGGGTTGTAGTGCATTTCAGTATTATCGATGTCCGNACAAACTTCCCAGACACCTTTTACAACTTCATATACCTGTGTGTACAGAAAAAATATAAACACTTTTAATTTATGATTTAAACACATTATAACTTCAAACGGAAATCATAAACTAACTTTGATTAGTAAAGCAATAATAATAAAATGAGAAATAGATAGTAACTTCTATACAAAATTATTAACTATATGATATACCCTACATCAAAAACAATTGAAGAATAAAAAAGAAAGATTAAAAAATAAATAAAAAGAACCTACATCAATAGAAATTTACCACCTCATCAAAATAGTATCATGAATTTCCTTCCTTAAGCCATGAATCAAGGGCCTCAATTATAGCAAAAGATGATTTTCACAGCAAAATAACTTGTGGAGTTGCTCCTTGTGCTATTCAACTCCTGCATAAAAACTAATAGAGCCTTAGTAAATACTGTTAAGAACTTTCATTAGGTAGAGATATATTAAGGAGTTTAAAACTAGACAAGAGAGAGGAGTTGGGTTTACCTGGTTATAGGGGCCGGCCAAGATGATGGTTGGATGTGGATGAGAGATGAAATTTTACACGAAAATATTGGAGGGAAGGTAAAATAATTGAAAGTTAATTTTTGTTATTTTATCTTCCCTCCAATATTTTTTATAGAATTCTCGTACTTATGACTTCCGTAAATATTGAAATTATATGTCTAACTTCGCATATTGTATATGAATTATTTTAACATTTTTTTAATTATTTTATTTGGACAAATTGTGAGCACGTTGAAAACAATTATGTATATGGTTGATACTATGTATGCACTTAATCAAGCTTAAATATGCAGATAATTGTAGATATTAATTGTAACGTCCCAATTTTTTTATATATTTAAATAGCTTAATTATAGATTTAATAACGTAACTAAAGTAATCTCATAGAAGAGAATACCAAGAATAAGGGTAGTTTAATGCATTGGGTACCGGTTACGCCCACCTCAAATTTGGAGCGTGCATTAATCATGAAAAATCTTTAAATAGATTAGATTGAGATAAATTGTTTCACATTAATTCTTACCAAATATAGCGAAATTATGGCCAAATTATTTGAAAACATTCAAAATTTTGTTGTGCAACCAAACTGTAAACTTGTAATTACACTGTGATAAACAAACAAGTCATCGTAATTATACAATTGTATAATTATTAGAATGTGTAATTACTACCCAAGTAATTAGAGGCTAAGGTTACGAAGTAAGGTCAGCTGGTTAAGGAAAGCTCAGGTTATGAAATCGCTTAGCCGTTAATTAATTTAAAAATAAAAGAAAAATGAAAGTAGTAGTGAGGCGTCGGTACGGACACCAATTCCAATTACATGGTGGCTTTCCAAACAGACCATAAATGGGTTGTCTGCCGACATGGAATTAAATTGTAACAACCCGACCGGTCGTTTTGGGCTCTAGCACGTCGGTCGGTAGTTTGAGGCCGTGAGCAGCTTCACATCATGTATTATGACTTGTGCGCATGGTCGGAATTGAATTTCGGGAAGTTCGGAGTTGATTTGGAAAGAGAATTCTCATTTCGAAAGCCTTAAGTTGGAAGAATTGACTAAGATTGGATTTTTGAGTAAACTACGTCGGAATCGGGATTCAAAGGTTCCAGCAGGTTCGTATGATTATTTCGGACTGCGTATGTCCGGATAATATTTTGGAAGACCCGGGAATGTTTCGGCACCTATTGTGGAAGTTAGCATTTTTTGAAGAATTTCATAAGTTGGGTTGTAGTGCATTTCAGTGTTATCGATGTCCGTTTGGGATTCCAAGTCTGGGAATAGCTCCGCATAGTGATTCTGGTATTGGGAGCGCGATCGGAAGTGAATTCCGAGGTCTGCAGGTCGTTTTGGAGTCATTTGGCTAAAGATAGAAATTTGAAGGTTTTGAGAAGCTTGATCGGAAGCGTACTTTTTGATATCATGGTCGGATTCCGATTTCGGAAGTTGGAGTAGGTTCGTAATGTCAAATATGACTTGTGCGCAAAATTTGGGGTCAATCGGACGGGATTTGATAGGTTTCGGCATCAAATGTAGAAGTTTGAAATTCTAAAGTTCATTAAGCTTGGATTGGAGGTCGATTCATGATTTTAGCGTTGTTTGATATGATTTGAGGCCTCAAGCAGGTCCGCATTATGTTATGGGACTGGTTGGTATGACTGGTTGGGGTCCCGGGGGCCTCGGGTGGATTCCGAATGGTTAACGGATCAAATTTGGGGCCTCGAGGAGGACCGTAGAAGCGGTTAGTGGGTCGCACCTGCGCACCCGCAGAAGCGGTCAAGTGACCGCAGGTGCGAAAATGCTGGAGGCAGTGAGGTTCTTTTAAATCGGGGGTTGGGTTTATTTCAACCTCATTTCTTTCATTGGAACCGATTTTGGAGAAACTTTGAGGTGCCATTTTTACCACCAAGAATGAGGTAAGTGGTTTATGTTAGTTTTGAGTTAAATACATGATTGTATATGGATTTGAGCATGAAAACTGGTGGAAAAGTTGGGGTTTGAGGGAAAATCTAGAAATTAGTATTCTTGAATTTTGACCACGATTTTGGTCATGAAATTGAGAGTAAATTATATATTTGAGTTCGTGAGGTTATGTTAAACCTTATCTTCGAAAAATTTCAGAACCCGGGCACGTGGGCCCGAGGGCATTTTTGTCAACTTTCGATCAGGGTTAAGAATTTTTGTAAATTGGATTATAATGAGTAATTGAATATATAATAATGGGTTCACATAATTGTTGGCTAGTTTTGGAGCGTTGTGCGTCAATTTAAGTCTTCGGAAGGATATGGAATGTTGGTGATAGATCTTCAGAGCGAGGTGAGTTTCCTTTCTAACCTTGTAAGAGGAAATTGTCCCCATAGGTGAATTAATTGGGTTTGTGCTTCTATTTGTGGGGGCTACGTACGCACGAGATGACGAGAGTTCGTGCGTAGCTACTATTATGTTTAAGTCTGGGTAGTCTAGGACCCAAAAGCATGCTATACTTGGAATATTTGTAATCGTATTGACAGTTTGAATTGCTTAAATCACACCGAATTAGTAAATGAATTTCTAAAAAGATTAAAACTTCATTTTCTTGAATTGTTAAAAGAGAATTGGCTTTTCTTTGGATAATTGTTCCCTGATGACTTCTTGATTGACTGTCTGTGTTTGTTTAATTTTGGAACGGGCCGAACGCCTCGGTAGATTAAATAGATGCATCTATGGTTCGCGCCATTCGACCCTCTGGCAGTGCACAGTTTAAATACCAGTTGGATCGGGTTGTACGACCTCGGCATATTTTGCACATGCTTGTAATGCTTGCTTGAGATTTATAAATTGATATTGTCTCCCTGGTTTGAGATAAATTGATAAATAATAGATTATGAATTTGGAAACTTTTTAATATAAAAAGGAATGTTTACTTGTTTCGTGACTTACTTGAATTTACTGTCGTTTTTAATAAATTCATGATTATTCGCATTATTAATATATTACTATTGGACCACTAGTAAGTGTCATAGTCGACCTCTCATCTCTACTTCTTCGAGATTAGACGGGATACTCACTGGGTACACGTTGTTTTCGTACTCATACTATACTTGTTGTGCATTTTTGTATCACAGGTCCGTGGTGTGACGACCCAAAGGGTCATCACCTGTTTTAAATAAATTTTGTGCTTCCGAGACCTTGAAAACCTCATTTAGAATCACCTCTTTGCGTGCGCAGTCCGGGCGCGTAGCCGGAAAACTTAAATGTGAAATTCTATGAAAAATGCTAAATTTTGATGTTAAAATGAATAAATTTGACTTTGGTAAACATTTTGGGTAAATGGACCCGG